AGTGGGGAAACTCACTTGTTGCAGCAGATGCAGGAAAGAGCAGCAAAAAGTGAAGAAAAGAGAACAAAGTATAAAGAGGAAGAGGTGAGAAATGCAGTACAATAGAGCTGCACACACTATGGACACTGGAGACTATGAATTAAAATAAAATGAAAACATGGTACCATGTGGTAACTAGTGAGGGGATAACGCACGAGAGGAAACCTGGTGTAAGACTGTATGTTGTGGAGAGAAGAGCTGCAGCATGTTGTGGATTCTGACAGCGGTGGGGTGAAGGACCTCCTTCCTCCACCGTGGGTGGATCAGTCTGCTGCTGAAGGAGCTGCTCACAGAGCCCACAGTGTGGTGCAGCAGGTGTTGTCCAGGATGGACGTCAGCTTGGCTAACGTCCTCCTCTCGCCACCTCCTCTATGGAGTCGGTCCAGGACAGAGCTCGCTCTCCTGATGAGCTTGTTGAGCCTCTTCCTGTCCATTCTGCCTCCACTCAGCAGACCACAGAGTAGAAGATAGCAGAAGCTACCACAGAGTCATAGAAAGTTCTGAGCAGAGTCCTGCACACTCTGAAAGGGTGGAGATGACTGAGGGGGAGCCGGCCTGAGAAGGTGGGAGATGGAGAGGAGCAGGGTGGAGAGGGGGCAGAATCAGATCTGTTGGAGAACAGATTCAGTTCGTCTGCCCAGTCCTTGTCTTCTCTTCCTCCTCCACTTCCATGGCCCAGATGTTGTGCAGTCCTCTCCAGACGTCCCTGGTGATGTTCTGCTCCAGCTGCTCCTCCAGCTTCCTCCTGCAGCTCACCTTTCCCTTCCTGATCTTCAGCCGGAGCTCCTTCTGCACTCTCCTCTGCTCCTCTTTGTCCTCCGATCTGAAACCCTCTTCTTCTCGTTGAGAAGGGCTTTTATCTCAGGGGTTTACTGTGCTTGTCTTCTGCCTCCTCCTCTTGTAGAAATAAAAACATCACATTTATTATCACAGCTTCCATTTGTACAGTTACATAAAAACACTTCTCTGCGGCTGTTGGAGTTTGTTCAGTGCTTTGAGGTTTGCCTGTTGTCTAGACCTGTGGAGAGGAAACTGGAGACACTGAAACATTGAATTATGAAACTATTAAACAGATGAAAACTAAAAAACAACAAAAAAGATTAAACAGAGACTCTGAGGCAGCCTCACGGTAGCCGCTGGTTGTCTTGATGACACCTTTACATGCTGCGGTTAATGTGTAAGCTGGCTTCATGGGGCTGTAAATGCTTCCAGGTAGCAGGTGAGTCTTGTCAAACGTTAACTGGTCGAACTTCTTCCTTCTTAGTGCTGAGGAACAGCAGACAGACATATTCAGTTACTGAGATAATCTGTGTTATGGTCAGAAGCACTCAGCTAATTAAAGAGTCCATCCATCCATCATCTCTACACCTTCATCCTCACCAGGGTCATGGGGGGCGGAGCCTATCCCAGCTGACTCAGGGTGAAGGCAGGTTCACCTGGACAGGTAACCAGTCTATCACAGGGCTACACTTAGAGACAGACAACCAAGCACACTCACATTCACACCTACGGACAATTTACAATCACCAATTAACCTCAGCATGTTTCTGGACTGTGGGAGGAAGCCGGAGAACCCGGAGAGAACCCACGCTGCACGGGGAGAACATGGAGACTCCACGCAGGAAGATCCCGGGTGTCCTCACCGGGACGCCAACCGGCGACCTTCTAGCTGTGAGGCGCTAACGGTGCTAACCACTGACCCACCTCCAGCCCTGAAATATTCATGTCCACATATGATCACCTTCACATAATGACAATATCAGTATTAAAGTACACGAGCTTAAACAGTTCATATTCTTCTTTTTGGGTTTTCCTTTAGTGTGTTGCAGGTTTTTTTTTCTTTTTGTACATATAAAGAGTTCTACAGCCTGAAGTCCATGGCACATATATTCAAATGTTAATTCAGTTGCGTGTCCACTGAGAGGGTCCATAAACCCGTCGACTATGATGACTCGTCTGGACTGTGTGTTTCTGATGCTGCTTAATGTCTTCAAACCCACGTGTTCCACGTATTGGCAGCATCATGTCAGAAATATTCTGTCAGACTTTCAGCTTCACATTTACCTCAAATGAAAAACACAATTTATTATCTAAGTTTTTTCTTTTTCTTTTCTTTCTTTTTTTAACATAATGGCAAAACTAATTGTAGTAACAAACCATTTCATCCTCCACATAACTGCCTGTGTTTCAGGACTTTGACCTGGCGGCCATCTATGTGTCGGACGCTCAGTACAACAGGAACATCTACTTCGACACGTCGCCGCAGGCTGTCAGGTGAGACTCTCACAGGTTTACATCCAGTCGCTTCCTTGTCTTGATCACGGGCTGCACTCACACACGACCCTTCTAGCCGTTGTGGAAAACAAAGTCTTTCCCTGTTGGGGAGCATCACAGACTGAAGCAGAATCTGTCTGAGCTCTGGTCCCAGCATGGCGTCAGGCCTTTACACTGTTCCATCTCATCTCATGTAAAACAACAGGGACGGCTGTTTGTCAGAAGTTACGAGGGACAAAAAGTCTCTTCTTTAAATCTTTAAACTTCAGGGTGAAGACTTTAGAGGTTCATGGTTAGGAAGAGGTTTCTAAGGAGGCTACGTCTGAGGTAACGAATGTAAGTCAGTATAAAACCCTGTGTGTGTGTGTGTGTGTGTGTGTGTGTCTGTGTGTGTCTGTGTGTGTGTCTGTGTGTGTGTGTGTGTGTGTGTGTAGGTTGTATCTCCTCTACAACCACTGGCTCCCTAAGGTGCTCCTCTACTTCTTCATCCTGGTGGATCTGTGCCTGGCTCTGTTCGAGGAGCCGGCTGTCCTCCCTCTGCCTTCATGGGTAAGACGGATGTTGAGCTCAGAAACACTGTCCTGGTCTCATACTTCCTCCCATTTATGAACAGTTTATTAGAAGAAGACAGTGTGCTCATGGGGCAGACTCTGTCATATAATGTCTTGTGTGAAAACTGCTAACGATGCTAAATGCTATCTGACACATAAGTGCATCGAGGACACAGGCACTCTGGAAAGTGGAGATCCAGCTGCTGTGGACTGTAGCACTCTGCTAAGTGGAGCTGCACCTGGACCATCTCAGCATCAACACTGTGTGAACACAACAGACGTACTGCTCAGCTCTCATTGTTCATGGCTCATGCAACAGGGAAGTCTGTCTGAGAGTTGGCTGACAGGCAGACTGCACATGTGCACAGCAGAATGAGTGAGGAACAGGAGAGAAGCAACGAAACGCTAACATGCATCACATTCATTATTCTGGCTACTGAGAAATACATGAACATTGTCAACTGTGATATAGACATTAAAATACTGTGCCAGTAGAGGAACAGGCCATGGAAATCAGACCACCTGGTCTTGGTGAGCATGACATTAGAACACCTTTTCAAAATGATCTTTGGTCACACACATTGACTTCTGTTGTGTATTGGTGGTAGTGAAACAAAACACAAACAGTGTACCGCGTCTACAGCATGTACCTGTGTTTATCAGTGGTATGGCTGGACTTGTTGATGTAACATTTACACACATGTCTGCAGATGGAGGTGTCATCGTGTCAGAAGTCCCTGAGCTCCAACTCATGTGTAAAGATGTTTGTTTGACTGAAATGTACATCTGAGAGCCAATGAGGAGAAAGTGACTTGTGTAGCTGGTATAAATGGAAAATACCAGGTTCTAGGTGGTTAGACAGAAACCAGTGGAGCCAGTTTAAAGCAGTGCTGCAGACCAGATGTGTTGGAGTGACCGTCTGACAGCTCTCATGTGTCTACAGGCCACCATGCTGGTGGAGCTGCTCTGTCTGCTCGTCTTCACCATTCGACTTGTTCACTATGCCAAGGTGATTCCTCGGGACAAGTTCTGGAAAGATCCCAAAAATATCTGCATCATCGTCATCCTCATGGTAGGAGGGGCTTATCTA